AGTTCTATCCTCGGAGGAGATTGTTTTAATGACAAATGGCGCGTTGCAGGGTCTTGAGTTTTTTCCGTATATTGGTGAAACGTTTTTGGCTGTTTTTGCATCAATGAATGGAGGGAATAACCTGGAACAATTTGTTGAGCATGTTTTTGCACCCTTAATATGTGGAGTGTTAAATGATTCAGATAAAAGTTCGCCGCCAATCGATGATATTTACAAGGTTTTTATTGACGCTGGAATATTGGAACATTGTAGAGGTAGCCGTAACCCTGGTGTTCAGTTTCAAGGCGGCCTTTACTCAGAACGGAACAGTCATTCAGTTTCAGCAAGTACCAGCCATGCATCGCTATTATGCTTGTCTTCTTTATCATGCAATCTAGGCCAAATTTCTTTGGCGATTCATAGAGGCCTTATTAACAATGCACGAGACGTGTTCATTAAAGCTTCGAACGGAAAGTTGCTTTACGATAAGGTCGTTGCGGTTGGAAATATATTCAGAAAAAACCAACTGTTGAATAAATTAGTACGGGAAATTTTCCCTGGATGTGTAATATCCGATAGCGATTCCTCGCGAGGAGCTGCATTGTTTGTTAGAGATAACGTGAAAAATTTACATACATAATATTTAGTTAAAGTATTTCGAAGATTTATTTATAAATGCTTTAGAAGTATAACTCCTCAATAAAAAATTCATGGTATGTGTTATTTTAGCTTTCCATTTTTAGTTTTAAAGAGTTTATGATCACGGATTTTATTCGTATGTGTCATCAAAGTGATGTGATCTAATATACTGAAAGATAAGGAGGCTCTTAAGTCAAATACCTTAATTATGTATGGTCCAAATAAGGCAACTTTTTAGTGACGCCAAATATTTCAAAAAACCTGCCAGCAATTTCCAGGTTGAATTATGCACTGATTGCGTTTGCGATCACCAAAAGGTATTGAAACCTAGTAGGAGTAGTAGATTTTTTTAATACATGTACTAGACAACGATGGTGAAGGAACTATGGTTAGGATGGGTTTTCTCTTGTTATTTCAAATATATTCAAGAACTTATAGATGAGCTTAAAGCTTTTCAGACTCATTTACAGCTTCGAGTAGGATAAGAGCAGCGAATGTCATTTCCAAATCAAAATTGAATTTGAGCTTTTTCGAACCTAAATTTTATTATTGTTACTTAGTCTCGAAGCTTTCTTTGCCTATTTCTGTAATTAGCCTCCAGCCCAACTCCCACCACTCACGCTTGAGCCTTTTCTCCGCGGAGGAGAGAGATGCAATCCATTTTGCAATCCTTGAGGAGGCGGATGACACTGGGACTCCTCCAATCAAGACGGAAGCGGGATTCGAATCCTCGACGTTTGTGTTAAAGGCTCCGCGTCTTAACCACTCGGGCACGGCTGCTCATGCCGGTTTCTGTCAATTAGCTATTTATGTCGTATATCGCAAGAAGTGGGAGGCTTCCCTTCGCCTCTGTTTGTAAAAGTTTTAAAGTTGCAGTAATTCCTTCCAAAATTTCGTTTCTTTTGGAATTTTACACTAAACAAAAAACATTTTTAAGCTTTTATTATTCGATTTGTCCGTTGATGTGCAATTAGTTGTAGTCATTCAGTTTTGTATTACAAGTGGCGCGAAGCTCTCTTTTCGCCTCTGTGTTAATTTAGTGATTTATGATGTTTGAGGATCGATGGATCGTGCGTGCTTTTGAATATTGAGTTTTTGCAGTTTTTCGCCTGGGCCGACAAATGTCCTGGGTTTGAATCTGGCCAAGATCAGTTCTTTTTTTTTCAAGCGAAAAAGAATCCATTTAAAGCAAATGGTCTGTCTTTTGTTTGGCTGCTTATGTTTTGTTAACCTAGTTGCCTCGGATTTTTCTTGAGCTGCAAGTGGTTTTTATTGCACTTATACGTGTTTTTCTTTATTTCCTGTAACTGCTAATTTTACTAAATTTGGTTTGTTTATTTGGCCTCGAATATTCTGATTTGATTGAATTAGATTAGCACCTCAATTTGCGTTGTTTGAAATGAAATTAAATGTTTAATTTTTCGTTTATCATAGTCGGGTTTCAAATTTTTTTCTTCAAATTTTTTCATGGCAAAATTTTTAATTTTGGTTCAACTAGCGTCTATCAAGGTAATGATTCACGACACGTTTTAGTCAATGTAAGCATCATCTGAGGCAAACGTATAAAATATTTGTGGTAATTTTGACATTAAAACCAGAAAGTACCATGGCACAGGATCACATGACATAAGCTCTCTCAGCAAAAGATATCACGTGAAAAAAGGCTTAAGATCCCTTTCTTGTGAATGCAGAATTTCTTGGCCGTTCTATTCTTAACTTGTTATTTCTTATTTTATTCTGAACTTGACTATTTAGAATTTCAGAAATTTCATGTCATTAACTTAGTTTTCGATTCAACTCAACGGGAACCTACAGAATTTGTGCCGGCCTAGTTACCGCTCAATAAATGGCTTTGAGTGCTTATTTGTTTCTGCAGTTGTTTTCCTCGTTAAACATCATTGCAGAAAAAACTTTGAAAGTTTTGTAGTTGCGATTTTTCGAATTATTTTTGCTTTTTTTTCAATTTAGTGGCTTTTCTTCGACTTTCTGTCTGCTAGCTTGCAAGACTATTATGTTTGTGCGATATTGAAAGTGGTCCGAAGCTCCACATGGACCACGTGTAGATCGCATTGAGCCCTTTTTGTCGTGATTCGATTTTTTAACAACTTTTGAACTTTAAGACTGTATAGAGCAAACGGCAGCTCGAAGTCTAAGTTTTTAATGTGTAGTTTTTTGAAATGGCTAAAGGTAATGGTGAACGTGAAAGAACAAGTGACAAAGCGAATGTAACTCTTGGAATTGTTCTAAATTTTTGAATTGTCATTGTTTCCATATTCGAAACTGTTCGGAAGTTTCTAGCTACTTGAGCTGCGTAATCGCAAATTTGGTTTGAAACACACAACTCGCCACCTGAATAAAACAATGGAACAAATCTCTGTCAGTGTAGGTAATATTAGCGGCAACACACTGATTTGCGCGCCTTATACCACTCGTGACGAATGTGAGCGCAGCAGAACGAAACGGAGTCAATGCTACAGTTTGAAATAATTCCTGTTTGATTTATTAAACAGGTATTATGAAAACGTTTTTTTTTCCAGATGAGATCTGGTTTTTTTTTTTTTTTATTTTTTTTTTTTTTGAGACGCTTTTTCGAAAAATTCGCTTTCCCAAAAAACTACCCGTCAGATTCTCATAAAAGTGGTACCAATGGATTCAGTAGCGTTTCACTTACCTGCCTGGTTGAAATTTAGGGCAATTTTTACCCTACCCCACCCCCTACGGTCTTAGAAAAGCTTCACAACTCGGTACTTTTTTCACTTTTTGCCCATTTTTTCGGAAATTTTCGATTTGCTCAAAAACTACCCGTCCAGATTTGGGATTAAGGGTTTAATCGATAGACCAGGTTGTAGGAAACTCCCATGCACAAGCGGCTGGTCCTTAACTTGCCTAGGGGAAGAGCTATAGACTTAGGAAAAGTCACTTTTTTGACTTTTTTGGCCTTTTTTCAAATCTTTCCGATTTTCTCAAAAACTACCCCTTCCAGATTTGGAATTAAGGGTTTAATCGATAGACCAGGTTGTAGGAAACTCCCATGCACAAGCGGCTGGTCCTTAACTTGCCTAGGGGAAGAGCTATAGACTTAGGAAAAGTCACTTTTTTGACTTTTTTGGCCTTTTTTCAAATCTTTCCGATTTTCTCAAAAACTACCCTTCCAGATTTGGGATTAAGGGTTTAATCGATAGACCAGGTTGTAGGAACCCCCCCTACACAAACGGCTCGTCTCTAATTTGTCTAGGGGAAGAGCTATACACTTAGGAATAGTCAATTTTTCGGTTTTTAGGCCATTTTTTCAAACTTTTTCGATTTCTTCAAAAACTACCCATCCAGATTTGGGATTAAGGGTTTAATCGATAGACCAGGTTGTAGGAAACTCCCCTGCCCAAGCGGCTGGTCCTTAATTTGTCTCGGGGAAGAGCTGTACACTTAGGAAAAGTTTTTTTAAAAGTTTTTTGGCATTGGAACAAAGATTCAATATACTTATTGTGTATATTTTTTAGACAATGGAATCCGCTATGCTAACGTTTTCTCGCTTTTGCTTGGTGCTATTGGCTTTGTGTTAAGTTTTTTTGTATGGTTCGAAGAAGTCCAACGAGAAGTTGCACGAGTTACGCTAGTTCTCTTTAATCAGGTCGGTTTGTTCCAGAACGTTTTTGTGATGTCAGTTATAGTCAACATATTATAGTCATATTTGCAATGCTTGGACAAAATTTAACTAATTCGAAAATTAAAGAGTCGTTAGAAAAATGAAAAATACTTTATTTCATTAATGTTAGCTGGTTTGTGAAACACACATTTCACTTAATTCTAGTGAATAATTATTCACATTGTTTACCAAAGCGTTACCAATGAATGCATAAGCTTCTCTTTCACTTTTTTTGCGTAGGAAGGGCGCTATCGACTTGAGAAACCTGAAATTTTAAAACAATTTTAAAATAATCAATATTAAAATAATCAAACAGGTCTCTCCAGCTTTCAGCTGGGCCCCTAGTTTACAAAATTTGATTTGGTGAGATATTGAATTCAAAAATAGGTCTTGATGATTTTTTTGTTTTTTTTTAAGGAAAAGTAATCATTTTTTTCTCGCCACATTTGCTGTTATCTGGCTTGACTTTTGATTTATTTTCAAGCTCATTTGCCAGTAGGAGGGCAAATTGCGATCTCCACTTACACACATTTTTGATTTTTTTCTCACGGTCTGTGTTCTGATTTTTGTGTTTAGTTCATTTCTTTTGTTAAAAGGAAGGCAAACTCCACTATCGAACAGCAAAAGTTTTAAGGTCACGAAAAGCGTCATATACTTCTAATTTCGAGAAAGGATTTCAGTTTTAGGTTTCCTAGCGTAATCAGAATTTTTTTTTCAAAGTGAGATATTTTATCTAAAAAGTGTCAATGATAAATTATTCTTGAAATCTGAAGACCTAAGGGCCATACGTTTTTTCTTTTAAGTTACAAGTTTTTTCAGAGAAATATATATTTTTTTCATTTCCCTTGCGTTCATTTACTTTTTTCTAACTGTCTGTTGGCTATGTTGTTACCAATGTCTGTCTGTCTCTCTCTCTCTCTTCAGAATGTCTGTTAAAAAAAAGGAATGTGGCCGTGGCGAGTTTGTCTTGTACGAGTGTTGCGATTGGACTGCTAGAGAAGAAGTAGCTTTGTTAGAAGCCATCGAGCATTTCGGATTGGGCAACTGGGAAGATGTATCAAAACTCATTGCAACCAGGTCCCCTCAAGAGGCCTTCAATCACTTCGAGGAAACGTACGTTAGTTCCAACATAGGAGACGAGACCTTGTCTGCGGAGCAATTTGGAACTGTGTATGATAGTGCAATAAACTACAGTGAAGGTTGTGACCCTCTCAAAGATATGATTGTTGGGAGAAAAACAAGTGTGGAAAGAGAACAACAACAGTTGATGGCATATTTACCGTTAAGAGACGACTTTGAATTAGATTACGACAATGCGGCTGAAACTGATATAGCAGATTTGAGTCCATTTGGTGACCCTGGATGCTTTGACATGGAGATGCACTCGTTACAATTCGAGCTCAAAGTCGCCCAAGTTCACATGTTTAGACGAAGAATCACAGAGCGTCAAAGGAGGCATGATGTTGCACACGATTACTCAGTCATACCAGAATTCTTCAGAGAAACCAAAGAAGCCAGTTCGAGTTCTTCCAAAAATAGCAGTTCAACTCAAAAATCAGGCGACATTCGGGGGTTCTACAGAGAAAAAAGTAAAGTATGGAATGAAATTATAAGTAGCACTGAAACTGCAAATACTACTGATGCAGATAAATCAGCTGCTCTGGCTTTTCTTCAGACAATTTGTGAATCTGAGGCGAACCAATTGTTTCGAGATTTGTCCGAAGAAAGAAAAGTTAGAGCTCAACTGAAGTGTCTGCAGTTCTTCCGCAAACGTGGCTGTAGAACCTTGGAAGATTGTGGCGAAGCAATGCTGCGGGAAAGTTTCGCGGCGGCCGAAGTAGACAAAGAGGTCAGAAAGCAGTTGGAACATGAGGTTTCAAGTAGTTCAACCAGGAGTTCATCAGTTGGAGCAGGTGGTGAACACAAATCGTGCGAAAACGGACACGACAATCTCAGCAAAGAGGAGGAACAGTTCTGTGACAGGTATGAAATAAAACCTGCCAAGTATATTACTATCAAGTTGAATTTACTCAAAAAAATAGGCGACGGAAACTCGTTCGATGACGTCAGAGCAAGGTTCCGAGATAAAGAAGGCGTGAACAAGAAAGTAGCGGATTTCCTTCATCTCAGTGGGTTAATACCGTCATCATCTTAATCTTCTATCAGAAGATGCTAAACATTTAATTTTATTGAAATTCTCAAGAAAACGTGTCAAATTTTGTACCCTCAATTTGCTTAGAACAATTTGAACTTGAAGTAGCCTGCGTTCAATTAGACTTGTTTTTGCTCAAATTAAATTCAAACATTCACTAGAAAAGTAAATTTATTTATCTAAATGATGACATTTTTCCAACTAACACAGCATAACATTTAATTTTCTCTAATAGACACGGTAGCAACATCGACCATTGTGAGTTCACTCTAAACTAGGCGAGTCGGTATGAATTGGTTAGGTTAAAGCACTAAGTGTTTGATGTATTGTTTTAATTTGACTTTGATTTGTCTGCAAAGTTCAGATTGGAATGAAGCACTCGGCGTTGTCAGATAGCGAGAATCGGGACGCGGGTGCGCTCGGGTCGTAAGGTGGTGGCGATGGTGACCCTGGGTTGCTGCAGACACTTGTCGGTCGCTTCAGAGTCTGAGTGACAATGTCGAGTAGCAGTCGACAGTTCCCCTCATCTGCATCCAGGAAGGCCCGGTAGCTTTCCGTTCTCCTGACTGAGTCGATATTTTTCTGAAAAAATAGCAGCGATGTTAAAAAACGAATGGCCAATTTTTTTTACTGTGTTTGCAGTTTGTTTGAATTTGAAATATTGATTTCTATCACTCATCCAATGCTCTATTGTAGTATTCAGTTTTTGGGAAAGAAGAAAGGTATACTTTGATGAATTTCGCAGCTTTGTATTGGAGATGTTCCCTGGATTCTTTCCTGGCCACATCCAGGGTGGTGACTGCATTCTCTGGCTGCAGATTGTTTACCAGTTCCAGCTCGCACCTGTTGATGAGGTCGTCGCAGGAGAAGTAGTTGGAAATGGGAAGGATTCCCAGAGCCATCTGGGTGAAGCCGACTGGCAACTTGGCCGTGTAGATATACATCAGCACCGCTGAAAAGATCGTTTTTTCTAATTGCCAAAATGTCCATTTTGTATAGCATGCGTCATTTTCTTGACAATATGCTTTGGAGTTGGCATTGGTTTTGATTATGTTCAGGGAGTTTGCATTGGTTTTGATTAATTTCAGCTATTTTCTAAAAAATTAATTCATCAAAAGCTTCCGTTACCTTCTAAAAAACCCAAAGGCAGTGAAACAAATGTAGCGAAGAGCGGATGAAATAGAGAAAGTAGCGAGGAACTTTGTCTTCGAGTGTTCGTTTTTTTTGCACCCTCATTTATGAAAGCTGAAATGGCGCGAAATAAAACATGATCGGTTTCTAGTATCGAAAGTGGAATTTAGTTTACAGATTTCCCAGCGGAATAAAAACTTTTCGTAGTAATCCAGTTTTCTCAAAAAATTGCCATTTATAAATTTCCCTTGAAATTCAAAGAGCTTTAAGGCCATATATTTTTTGTTTGATATTCAAAAGTTGAGATTTTTCCACTAGGTCAATGTTTTTTTTAGGTTTACTTTTTCGTTCATTATTCTTTTCTAGCTGTCAGTTTAGCTATGTTCTTAGGAACTAGCTAATTAATCCGAGTTTGCTTAAAAAAACGACTTAACTACCTAAATGTTGAAATATTAAATGTTGAAACTGGAAATAGATTTTCAAGTGATAATATACCAAGTGAGTTTTAGTTATTTCAGTCGTATAGTTTGTCACGAAGAAGCTTTGAAGTTAGATTTGATGGCTTTGTTTTGATATATTTGGAGGCTTGTTCATTAAATTCATTTCTCAGGTGAGGCTGAAATTGCGCTCCTCAGCAGTAAAAAAAATGGCGCTTCTACAAGATGCATGGCGGTTCACAAATTTGATTTAGTTTTTCAGTTCCCAGTGGATTGAACGAATTACTATCATCCTTTGTCAAGTGTCTAGGTACGTAGTGAAGTAGTAAAGATAAGTCGAGATGATTTGTTTTGGGAAAAAGTCTGAAATTTTGACCACGCCAAATTGGATCTTTTGCGGTTCAACTTTGTATTTGTTTTTAAGTTTAATTCAAGTTGCGTAAGCAAGTGTCTTGGTATCGGGAACTGGACTTTGTTCCTTAGTTAACTTTTCCTACAAATCTTACTTGTTTTTCTCTGTGTCTGAGAAAAACAATTTGAAATTTTTGATTTTTTTTTGTTCAATTTCGAGCGAATAAAGCAAGCAAGTAAGTTTATAATAGGACGATAAGCGTACTTATTTTTGTCACATCAAAATAATGAACGAAGTTTCCTTTAGCGCCTTCTCGAGAATATAAATTTGTGAGCCATCATTTTGCTTTTTTTATTTATCTTCGAAGAAAACTGGTCAAACCTGCCTAAATTACTTTTACTTGCGGATCTGACTATGTTCTAGGCTTTCATTGGGATCCTTTAGTTGTACCAAAATCAAACAAGTTTTTTATGGCCAGAACTCTCTGTGCTAGTTGGACAGCAACGAACTGTCCTTGGCACAGAATATAAAAAGCTCATTAATTTTTTTTCGAAACCTCATGATTATCTACGGTTCAATCATTTTTTTAAATTGATTGTTTTGTAGATGTTTTTCTCTTCCGAAAAATACCATGCTTTGTTCGAGTAACTTCACCTTTAAATCAATTAGTGAGCGATACTGAAAATAATATTAGTTTCAGTATCGTTCACCAATTGATTTAAATATCGCCAACTTATTCGAGAGCAAAGTTTGGTCGTTTTTTGTTTTCATTATAGCTTTTTATAGTTGCTGATTTGAAATACTTGATTAGCTACTGTGAAAAAAGTTTATCTTGATATTTGTTGTGATTTTGATTTGCATTTGAAAGAATTGTTTCGAGATTCTGGATGCTGAAAATATTTCAGCAGAATATGGATTTTCAAAAGGGGCTATTGAAACATTCATTATAAGCAAATAGCTATTTGACACCCAAAAACATGAATTGTTTTTTAATATACTGATTTTTTGGTCGGGTTCCGGCATTTCCCTATTTCTAAAATGGTAAACAGTATGTATTGTTAAAAAATGATTGTTTTTTTATGTACAATGGTACAGAAATTCCGAACATGCAGAGATGTTGAAATTTAGTTTTGAAAAAGATTTTGATGGGCTAGTTACATTTGTTGAATACTTCATTTTTAGATACTTCAGATACTTATTGAAATTTTATGATTAAGTTTTTATGAAATAAGACCTATTTTGGTAATCAATAAAGGATTTACTTTTCCGGAAATGTTTTCAAGGCAGACTGAATTTATTAAACTCAAACCCTACCTCTTATTATAAGTTATCTCAATAATAATCTAATTCAAGGTTGTGGTTTGCTTTTCTGTTTACGTAGTTTCTGATTGAGTATTTACGAACTAACCTTCGAAAGCATCTGGTTGGAAATGTTTAGGCAGAGTCACGATACCAATTTTGTCGCCCAGACCCGAGTAGTAAATCCTCATGCGGGCCATCAGAAATGAACGATGACACTTGAAAATCTTAGTGCCGCATTTGAACTTGAAGTCGGCCCCGCATCTTTCACGCTGCACAAACATAGTATATAAATCATCCATGAGAACATCCCGAGCACGCTGAGTCATTCTTTGCTCACGCGCCTCGCGTGAAGTAGTTACTTGACTGTTGTTAAACTCGTCGCTTTCGTCCAGCAGACTGGGATATTGGGAGTCGTTGGCGCTGGCACCCATATATGACTCAGTTCTTGTCAAATCACTTGAAGGTGAGTTTCGAATATCAGAACTATTGACGTTGCGGTTACCCTGCGTGGCTTTTTGTGTTGGGTTGGATTTTGATTGATTTTGAGGATTGAATGAAAGAAGTGAAGTAAGTCTGCTGAAGTTTGTGTCACTCGCGCCAGAATAGCCTGTGCTGCCTATGTTTGATCCACGAAATATGGCAGACTGTGTTTGAACACGTTTTTCTCGCTTTTGTCTTCGGTCTAAACGGTCCCCACTAATAGATCGAGTGAAAGGAAGAGCTTTCTTGAAACTAGGCCATCTACGTGACGTGGGTGAGCCCCCCGTATTTACAGCACCCGGGCTGCGGGTTTCTTGGGTCAATGTATCAAACGCAGGGTAAATGTAGTTTGTGTTACCCAAGTTTTTGGAGTAAGCTTTTGATGGGTTACTTTTCGACCGTACGCTTCCAAAATTCGCAGCAATTTTTACGGGAATTTGTTTTTACGTTGTGCTAAGTAGCATGCTACTACTCTGCTTGCTAATATGTCGTGTTTAATGCGTTGGTAGTGCAAATGTTAGCTTGATTCCTGTTCGCTTAGCAAAGAAAGAGGGTAGAACGTACGAAGGGGCGACTTATTCTAGTAGACTATCCCGCTATTGTGCTTGCGTGTATGAATTTTGAATTTACTGTATTTGGTTAAAATGGTAAATGGTACCTTAAGTCATGGGAGCGTCTATCGTGTGCTTTGATAGGCGGCAGGCCAACATGCCGAAAAGTTATAAAGTCGAAAGTTCAATCAGCCTCTGAAAGGTTCTATTTTTCTACATTCAGTTTCTATTTTACATTCAAGTATTTCAGCTCTTAGAAAATACCCAGTTATGCTTAAAACAAATGCGGCTTGTAGAAATGATAGCAAATTGGACTTTTCCCCGATTTTGTTGATGGTTGGTGGCTATAGGTAAACTAATACATGCTGCACAGTTACCAATAAATATATCACCAACGTGCTGTAGAAAATTTTGTGGTATAATGGAATAGGTCGCATGGAAATAAAATGATGTCATGCTGAATATCTAGCCACCTTCAATTGCTCTCGGATGGTTTCTAATGTCTATATGTTATGTTAATTTGCAGTTAAAACGATTGATCCGTATTTCCTGTTGCAAATTTAACTGGGGCCGTGAAAACAATCGGCAACGAAAACATTGCCGTTCAAGTAACATTTGATGCCCTAAAGAAATTCAGCAAACAAGAATTAATTGACTGCAATATGATGAACTGAATATTGATTTATATGTATATTTTCCTGAATTCCACGTGAAAGTTCCGAACACTTGCAACTGCTGCAAGTTAAAAGCTTTCAAACATTCCGTAGAACCATAGCATGGGATACGCGTGTTTTTTTATTGTGAAAAAAAAACTAGATTTTGAAAAACTTTAACGCGAAAGTCTGTCCAAGAAAGCAAACCAGAGTTTTTAAAAAGTCTATTTCTATAAAATTGATGATGAAACTGGAAAGACTATAATTTTAGTTTTGGTTATTCGATTTCACATACATGGAAAACACACATCAGTGACACAGACAGCAAGTATCATTTAAAGTACTTAAAAGAAAACCTTTATGCTTCCTCATGTTTTTAATTTGATGTCTTGGCTGCTGGTTTCTTTTCCCTTGCGAGAGCAGGTGTACTTGTAATAAGGAAATAAGTCTTTTTCCTGTTAATAACTTTCATTACACATCTGGAGGACCTTGCTTACTTATGGAACCTCAACATCTACCATTTCCCTTCTAAATTGGCCTAGAAGTAAAGAACGCGCCTTTGGAACAAATAATCCCGGGTTGGAGTTGTTAATGTTCGAAAAATGATTTTTGTGAAAGCTTCAATTGTCGTTCTATCATTTGTATTCTTTTGTCGGCTTACTTTCCTTAGCATGATTTTTTTCCGTCCAGTTGGCCAAGTAGTGGGAAGGATGTATTGCGGTGGGTGTAGTTTTTAGCTGTTCAGGCAAGTTAAATAAACCTCGTAGAGGGTCAAGTGTGGTATCATATAGAAGTCCTTTGGGCAGTGACTCGGATACCATAGTAGTTCAGAAATTCAGAAATTGTTTCAGCGTTGAGAAACACTGGTCTTCTATTTATGGAGTTTTTCCATTTATCAGACTAATTTTCTATTAAAGCGTTTTAAATGTATGTTGTTTTCCCTCCTCTCACCACCGTAAAAATGAACAGCAATGTTTGAAAAAAGGTTTCTTCATTTTTAGTCTGCTTTACGTAGATTAATATGGTCATGTTTGTGCTTCTTGCACAATTGTGCTACTTGCACGCTAACCCTCAATCTTTGTTTGTTTTGGGTCCTGTTTTTATTTTCGTCACATCACAGATATGGTGGGAATAATCTTCGATTTGGTTTGCTTTCCTGGTCATGATAGGCTCTGCAAACAAACGTCAGAGCTCTCAATTTGTTGATTTGTAGTTTGAAAAAGTTCCAAAAACTATTCATTCTTTCCAGAAAAAGTTTTTGAGCTCCTAGACTATATTGATTGGCGATTGAATAAGCAGTCTTATAATTCATAGGATGAGTGGTTTGAAGAAAGTAAAATTAAACAAGTTTTACACCAGATCAATCCAAAGTCGCTCCTAAGACAATTCGTTCAAATGAGTAAATAAATACGTTACAAAGCCTCCCTTTAAACTGATAGGATCTCAAACTCCGCGGTACTCTTGCTCAACGTACTCTTGCTTAACTCCTCTGTGGATGTAAAACACAATTTAATAGCCACCTGTGCAGGCTGAGCAAAAACATCGAAAACAATTGACCAAACTTTAATGCTAGATCGCATGGAATTCACCAACTCTTTAACTGTCCATCAAAGCCAAAATCTCTAAAACTTGACGACCTGTAGTACAACTTCGTTGCAGTCGCAAAATGGCTCATTTTAGCAACATATCGAGGCACACTAGGAGTTTTTCTCTGTTCACCGCACTAGTTACAAACTGCCCCCTAGAACGGGTTTTAACCAGTAATGTCAGAAGGGGAACCTAGTTACTGTTTGATGGACGAGACGAAACGATGAATAAATCTCTACAATCTTCAGTTGTGGAGTACTGGAAATAAGAGATATTAGAAGCACTATTTGGAAGACCCCTACTGTTCGCAGCTAAAACAATATCACATTAATTAAACTTTGAAAAATTATTTTTATGTTTTAATTTTGGCGATTTTTGTCCGTAGTGGTCTAAGAGGATCTGAAAGAAACCAGAAATTTAGGCTTAGTCGATAGCCATAGTAAATTGGACTTGTTCGACATTGTTTTTCTTCGCATTGTTCAATTGCTTTGCAGATAAATGTGATCGGAACATTCTACTATTTGCACACCAACCGTTCATCCTTGTTTCTTCTTTAGCTCTTGATTTTCTGATTGTCAGATCCTAGATGTGATCGGAATTATTTTCATTTTTGTTTGTTTTCCTCGCAGTTTTTAAATTTGAAAAAAAAAACACAAATTCGTCATTTCAAGAAAACTTTTCCGAGCTTTTGGAATATATTGGCGATTGAATGATTGGTCTTATACTTTATTGAATATATCATCTTAAAAAATAATATTGGATAAAGATGCCGGTTGCTGTGCACGTAGCAACGAAATTTATTTTCTAACACAAAATGAAGCTTAAAAAACTATCTTAAAGTTTTGTCCTTTTTTGTCCGTTGTGGTTTGAGAGGATTCGAACGAAATTCTAAAATTTGTTCAGCAATATTTTTCTTTGTAAAGGGAATAGAACAAAATTATTTTGTTTATGATTTCGCTCTCTTTCGGATTTGCATAGAAGAAATATGAAAATAAAAATGCATCCCCTCAAAGACCGCATCTTAACAAAATTAAGATGTTTTTTTGACATTTGTATCGTTTTCTTGACTGTTTGCGTTGCTTCGTTTGTTTTCTGTCTGTGTTTTAATGTTAATCCGAGTGATGGCTTTTTCCAGCTTGAAGCTGTATTGGCCATTCAATTTCATATGGTGACGCCGCTGTTTTCCAATGGCTTAGTCTCATTGTTGGCTCTTGCCAAGCATCTACTTGAGTGTTTCTCTTCCGGCGCATCAAATCTTACAAATTCGTTATAAAAGACGCCGTAAATGGCCTTACAGAGATTGCGGAACTGGTGGTAAATGGTATGTGCAATGAGACAAATTACGCTGTTAGATTCATCCTCATTTCCTTGTGCCTTCTACGTCAGAACTTTTTGAGTAGCAATTTTTGATTGCAAGTGAATGCTTAATTGATACAAGGAGTAGAACTTAAAAACACAGTGGGCGCTGTTGCCCTACGAAAATGAGAAATTGGGAGTAGTATGCTTTTAGTTTGCTTGGAAATAGAATTTTAGTCTTGAAAGATAAAAAATGCTTTGCTTACATTATTCAGGTGCTGCAGAGAATATTTTTCGATATTCAGATGCAAATCTAGAACACCAACTCTATATTCAGATCCAAATCTAGTTAATTGTTTTCCTCAAGGCTATGTTCACCCAAACAAAAATTCACAAAAAAAATCCTTGAAAAACAGGATTTTTTCAAAAAAAATGTTTCGACTCATGTAAAATAAACTGTAGGCCAATGGATTGCGTGCTATGAACACATCAACCATCTGCTTGCGTTTGTAAATGTTTTTTGTAGCATTTTACAGTTTTTGATTGGGTAGGGGAGATACCTCAATTGGTTATTACGTGGTGATATTGCTCATTTGATCCGATTTTTTTCAGGTAGTTTTGAAAGCGATAGATCAGTGAAACTGATTAAATAGAAGCTAAATCAATCTGAGGTCACACTTGAAGCTACACTTGGAATATCATCATTGAATGACGAATGGCTTAATTAGCTGCCGCATTTGTGGAATTTCTACTGGCAAGAATAATCAAGTAAGCTGGACGCAAACTTGCATTAGTCTCGATTTAATGTTAGATAATAGGAGAGTTGATTTTATATGCAAATTGTATGCTAGGTACACGTTTAAACCAACAGAACATAATATAACGAGTGCAGAGGAGTAAAATGAGTTCATCGCCTCTACTGCCAATCATCAACCCAGACAAGTGTGGAGATGAAGCGGAACAGAAGATCGAGAGGAAGGTCAGTTGCTTCTCAGTAAACATGTTATTCATAATTATGCTAGCTAAGTATCACCATTCATTCGAGAGATACATTCTGTTTCGCTGCTCTATCCTTTTTTCCAGAATAAATCAATCGGCTGTGGCCACCGAATGTGGGATAAGTGCTCAAATAAATTTTTTAAGCCCCGATCTCTTTATTTTAAGCCCCAATCTTCTTTATTTAAGCCCCGATCTCTCACTATGCTATGGCTGGATCATCCAATCTTTCTGTTTGGAGATGTTGTCAAGGGGTTTGGGAGAGGGAGCAAACAACTGGGGATCCCAACTGCCAACTTTGCAGAGTCCGTTATCAAATCACTTCCCAAGAACTTCAAAACAGGTACAATATGGGCTATAGTTTTAAAAAGCATTTGAGTTGTCAGAAACTGGTTTTGTTGGATTTTTAAATGAATGTCTTCTAGAAATGAAACCAGGTAAGCTTTTTAGTCGGGTTTTATTTGAAATCATTGGAGATTTTCCAATCACTTCATATG